GCTTTACACAACTGATGTATGTATGGATTGTGATAAGAGTTGTATGTGCCCCTAATAAAATGATTTTTTTTAAAAAATAGCTGTAAGAGCCCCCAATAAATGATATATAAAAAGAGAGAGAGAGAAAAAAAAAGAGTTGCTGATAAATAAATGAACCAATCTATTAATGGATTCATTCATTCTTGGTCATAATACTATTAAAAATTGGAGTTTGTTGGCAAATATTGTTATCTATATGTCAGTTTATACACGTGCAAAGTATGAATTTTGGAAAATTGGAAATGGTCAAAAATGAGATGGAATGCATAAAGATCAATATCTTAGGCATTTGTAAGCTGAAATGGACTGGTAGTGGCCACTTGGAATCTGAAAATCATATGATTTACTATGCTGGAAAAAGCACAATCAAGAAGGATGGTGTGGCATTCATTGCCAGAAAGGATCATGCTAAATCCATCCTGAAATACAGTGCTGCCTGTGATAGGATTATATCTATCTGCCTTCAAGGAAGTCCAATCAATACAACTATTATTCAAATTTATGTACCAACCACCAACATTAGTGATGAAGAAATTGAAGGATTCTACTAGCGACTTCAGTCAGAAATTGTTCAAACATGCAATCAAGATGCTGAGGAAAAAAAGGAAGGAACAGTAGTTGGAAAATATGGATTTGAGAATACTTGCAGTTGTGCAAACAGGGCAAGGGCTTACGACATGATTTAAAATCAGGAAAGTTGTAAGACAGGGTTGTGTCCTCTCACCACACTTGTTCAATCTGTATTCTAAACAAATCATCAGAGAAGCTGACTTATATGTAGAAGAATATGGGATCAAGATTGAGGAAGGCTTATTAACCACCTGTGATATACAGATGACAGATACAACCTTGCTTGCTGAAAATTAGCAGTTGAAGCACTTGCTGATGAAGATCAATGATTACACCCTTCAGTATGGGTCACGACTCAATGTAAAGAAGACCAAAGTCCTCACAACTGGACCAATAGGTAACATGATAAATGGAGAAAAAATTGAAGGTGTCAAGGATTTTATCTTGCTTGGACCACAATCAATACTCATTGGAAGCAACAGTCAAGAGATCAAAAGGCATTGCATGAGGTAAATCTGCTGCATGGATCTCTTTAGAATATTGAAGAGCAAGAATGTTCCTTTGATGACAAAGGTACGCCTGACCTAAGCCATGGTATTCTCCATTGCCCCATATGCATGTGAAAGTTGGACATTGTGGGGGATACAGAAAGATTTCTCCCAAGTTGTCTCCCCACAGATATATGCCAAACCTAGCTGCTTGCTACACATGGCAAACGACTATACACTTGGAGGTCAACGAAAGCAGGTCAGAGATTACGCTCCCTAAGGGTTATCAGCATCTAGAGCAATCAGACTGTATCGTCTGTCCCACTCCCTTCTAAGAAGGACAGTAGTGGGTTGTTTCCCTGAAGGAGAGCCCAGGGAAATCAAGACCACTCAAGGGTGACCACGGTTAGGCTTCCATATTGAGTCTAGGGTCCGCCCATCTTGTCATATGTCTACCTCTAGTCCCTCCCCTTCCTATTACGTTACACCTCTAGCTCATCCCCTTCCTGTGATGTGTATGCCTATTGTACAGCCCCTTCCTGTGACGTGTGTGGTTACCTGTAATCACGCCCCTAAGTATATATGGGCCTTGGCCAGAAATAGAGACTCCCCTGCCTTCTCAGCCCGCACTGTGCATGGACCTGGCTGGTGAGATCATGGTCGTTCAGGAGGCGGGTATGCTACTATGAAATGTGCCTGACTTCTTCATTTCACGCTCTCTCCTGTCTCTGTTATTCTCTATGACTTTACTATAATCTTTATATATTTTAACCATACAATTGTGCTTACCGAACCCGCGATTAGTTGTGGGGGACTCGTTTCCCCCACAACATTGAATAAGGAAGACTGAACAAAAGTAGATGCTTGAATTATAGTACTGAGAAGAATGCTGACAGTGCCATGAACTGCTGAAAGGACAAGCAGATCTGTGCTGGAAGAAGTAAGGACAGCGTGCTCCCTAGAGGCAAGGATGGTGAGACTCTGTCTTACAGACTTTGGACATGTCAGGAGAGAGCAGTCCCTGGAGAAGGACGTCATGTCGGTAAAGCAGCGGGAAGGCCCTCAATGAGTGGCTGCATCGCTGAGCTCAGGCATGAGAACAATTGGAAGGCTGACACAGGATTGGGCCGTGTTTCCTTCTGTTGTACACAGATAGGGTCCCTATGCAG